AAAAAAAAAAAAAAAAAAGAATACAAGATTAATGAGACTGAAGAGAAGGAGTATGCCTTTAGCCCAGGCATTACAGGTGTTCACCTGGAATAGAGGAGACCTGGGCTCTAATCTCTGCTCCAAGGACCGTTTTTTCACTTTGTATTAAACAGTTGTTGGATAAAATGATTCTTACCAGGCACTGTCTAGGGAACATAAGCCCCTAACTCAGAACAGTAAATTCTGCACTGGCAGCAGATGCTTCTCATTAGGCATTGCAATGCTAAGCACTACAATTCCTACATCCATTCCTAATACTTGAGTTTTTATTTGAAGAATAACTTCCAGATGTCAGTCAAATACAAGCAGACCCAATGATGTCTACAGGCAGCCAGAAATCATAACTCTGCAACGTATGCAAACTGTCTCATTAAGTGCAATGAACTGTTAATTCTGAAACCTATCAGTAATAGTTTAACTGAAAATATTTTGAGTTGTTTCATTGCTTATCAAACTGATGTCTCATCCTAATGTCAGTAGTGGGTTTGGGGAAGAAATGAAGAATGTCATAATCATTTTTTTTCTCCTAACCATTTGACCTTTTATTGAACTTCAGCCACCAACAGAAGACACTTTCTATAGTTGTTTTGTGTAAGCTGGTTTTGGAAGTCTTACTCTCCTCTTGCTGATGTTTAACACTGACTCCCTAGGAATCAAACATTGCAATAATGAGCTCCTTGTAAATCCCACTTATATGAAAGCTTAATATCTACAATCTGTGTCCATACTTTATTTAATTTAAGTGGATGCAAGGTTGAAACCAGAAAAGAAGTTAACAAGTTCCTCTTGTTAAAATTAATCTACTTTATTAACTTAGACTATAAATAACAAACAATATATGCTCCAGTTCAGCAAGGTGATTAAACACATGAATAGTCCCTTTAAAACCACTGGAGCTATTTATTTACATGCTCAGAGGTATGTGTTGAATTACTGAATTGGGACATAAGATCAGTATATTGGGAGATAAAAAAAGCAGTTCTTGTTAAAGAAATTCTATTTAATAATTCACTTCCAGGTTTTGGTCACTCATTTTGTTCCCTTGTTTCTAGTATTATAGTAGACACTGCTTCCCGCAGGTCAACCCTGTAGATGGGTTAATAAATCACTATATTTCAAAGATAATGTTAACTCAGAAACGATTTTAAAATTATTTAATGTAAAAATAATAAGGGCCAGTACTGATTTACACAAACTGTGGACCTGATCATACTGGTTGGCTTAAAAAACAATGGATAACTGTTTTTACCCCATATTATGATTATGATATTTTCTTTGGCTTCCTAATGGTATTTCACATTAATTGCTGATGAACTGTGAGAAGCTACAAATATTGTCTATCTTCATGAAAACATGAAAATCACACAAATAATATTTTTGAGCATCTGTTTGATTTATGGAAAGGTTGAAAGGGAGTCAGAGTATAAAAGGAAATGGTTTTAACATCTAAATACTCATCTACTGAAAGGCAGTTTACATGGATATTTCTGAGGGGGAAAAGTCAAGAGCCTCACTCAGTATTCATTTTAAATGATGTTTACAACCCCAAATTCTCCTTGCTGGTGCGTTAATCCAAGCAAATGTGAGATTTCACAGCTCTTTTATCACATTACAAATGTCCCTTTACCATGATCATACAGACACAAGGAAATGAAGCTTAACAGGTTACCCAAGCACAGCTGAAGGAACAGAGTGAACTAAAAATACATGTATATTTACACGCATTTACATATGTGCACACATAGGTATTATTTCTTTTCGTGGGAGGGAAAAGAAAAAGAAGTTAACCAAATGACAGCACTGAAAGTAAAATTAATAGTGTTATGCAATGGAAGATTTCCTAATAATTTGTAAAATATTAAAACTGGGTGCATCTACGCGAGACACTTACTGCAGAGTGGCCTAACTAACTGTCACTGTCTACACGAGCAGTGCTATTAGGCAGAAGTGAGCTAATTAACTCCACCATTGAATAGTACTGCCCAACACAAGTATTATTTTAGGGTGGAGTTATTTACTCCTCTGGAATGGACATGTATATGGTGACTGGGGCTGGCTGGGCCACAAGGATGTTACAGTGCAGGGCTGCCCACTGACTATGAATCTAAATTTAAACCCTTGTGCCCCAGCTAGCCCTTCCGCAGCACATTGTGGTGGGCAAGACCAGACCTGGGCTGGTAGGCTGACCCCCGCCCCTCCCCCCCCAGCCCTATGCCAGATGGAGCTGTGCCTCCCCAGCTTGATGTGCTGTGATCCTGGGTGCACATGTAAACACTGTACCTGGGAGCAACAGACTCCAGTGTGAACTGTGCTGGAGTTTATTGCATGAAATTAATTTAACTTGTAGACATGACCATTGTTTGCCAATTTGTGAAGCAAAATTTTCCCCTTTCATCCTTTGCACTCACATAAATCAATTATAAATCTCTTCAGCTCTCAGTAGAGTCAAAGAGAATTGCACCCTTTGATCGGACAGCAAAATGTGGGCCTTAACTGCGAATTAAGTGTGTTTGTGTTTACTCCACGTTAAAATACCTTCTCTCCTTTCAGTGGGGAGATTCCAGCCTTGCTTTGTATTCGTATTTTGCTGCTGCTCTTGCTGCCAAATATTTTGCATAGAGCAGGTGCACAAATTGCTTTCTTGCTGCAGCACTGTGTACTTTCTACTTCCCCTTTCATTTAGATTTATAATCTGAATGGCACCTTTGCCTTGGCCACACTTGCTAGTTCTTCCCCCCTACTGCTGCTGCTGCTGTTACTGCTGCCGCTGCTTCAGTTTATAAAAGCTGCCTGATAACTTCAAATATTTATTAAATAATTTAGACAATAAACCCTTTTCTATCTGCACCCTATACACAACTTGATCCCATTCCCTTTGCAGTTTGTTTCAGCTGTAGCATTTCTTAAAAACCACTTGCAGATTTTAGTAAATTTGATTCTTTTAAAATAAAAATATTTTTGTGAAAGATTCTATGATGCTCATTCTATTATCCTACAAAGTGTAGAAAAAAAATCTTTCTCTTTCTGAGCACATTATATACACAACACTGACTTGCATCAATATAGGTTTCTGGATACCTCCACTCTGGTTTTAGCTCTATAAACAACAAAACGTGAACAGATAAGAAGTGTTCTCCCCTGCTAGTCCCATACCAATAGTCAGATTGTGTCTGTGTGCATTGATATGAAAAAAACCTATTCCCCTCAACCAGCACTGACCATGAGCTAGATTGTGCTTGATATGTGCATAAGGATGGAAAGTGCAGAAGAATGGCCAGGCCTTGTTTGCTCTTTAACACGCATGAACATGTGTGCTTGTTTATAGGGGATGTGTCTACACACACATTTACACCAGCTTAAATTGACTGTGCAGTAAGTTACTGTGCAGTAAGCAGGAATAGGCTGGTGTCTATATGTGCAGGCACTAAAGCACATTAATGCTGTGTGTTACTGTGTAGTAAAGCGTCTACATGTGCATTACTGTGCAGTAACTAATTGGGTGTAAATTTGATAACTGCATGGTGTAGGTATCAAATTTTTGCTCAAGTCGGCATAAATCACCCTATTTACTGTGCAGTATGAGCATGCATGTGTAGACACATACCCATACTGCGCAGTAATTTTAGTTACTTCACAGTAAATGTGCATGTATAGATGCACCCAGGGATGGGCAAGAAAGAAGGAGAGATGTCCGACCTAGGTAGATGGTACAGAGGGAGAAGTATGATGTACAGTTCTATGATGGGCTCAGAAAAGAGTGCGCTCCCCACTTTGCCAGCGTCAGAAAAGGGTCATTGGGTTTTGAATCTGGTTTCATATTCTGGAGTGGCTGTACTCCTGCCCCCCTGCCACACTGAATTCCATAGATAGCTTCTACCTTGTCACTGAGAAACCTGCCAAATCCTCATAGCTCAGATGAATGGTTACCAAAGGGAAATAAAATCACTATAGAAAAGATTTCATTCATCCCTCTTCCCTCTTGAATCAACTGATGGCAAATGTGCTGTGTAGGAACAAGACTTGAGTGACAAGGGGTAGAAAGTGTTATGACATAGTGTCAAGTCCTTCTAAGGATAAGCCATTTTCAGAAGTTACATCACCAACCAGAGGCTGAAATTATTATGGTGTGGAACAAACAAACCAATGCTGAAAGTGTTCCCATTTGAATTCATGAGTATGCCTCCGGTGACATATAATCCCTGTGACATTTACTTGCTCCCTGTCACTAGAGCTGCTCTTTGTTACAAGCCTAAAAGTGATCACTGAACTTGTAATGACTGGTAAACCTAAACCATGTACATGTTGTAAATCAGGATGCTGAACAGAGAGGATGGGGAAATATCATTCAGAATCACAGCCACCTCATATTCTCCTTGTGCATGAAAGTTGTTTATGGAAGAAGCAAGCCTAAATCAGTAAACATCAAAATGAAAGGTCAACATCCATGAAAATGCCTGAGGCTGAAAATTGCAATGTTGTTATTGTTATTAAATATTTAAGTTGTTACTTCACGATCCTAAATGGTAGAGCCTGGGAACAGGGCTGGCCACTGTATAAACTGAAGAAGGAGGCAGTTGCAGCCCCAGAACACCCCCCTACTCCCACCTCTCCTGCAAAAAAACCCACACAAGTAGATAAAAGGTTACAGATATATATATATTTTTTTTCCTTCTAAAAACATCAGAGAGGAAAAGGGATGGACTGAAGATAAATAAAGCCTGGAACCAGTAACATAACTGATACAGGAGGACCGGGGCAGCAGCCCCAGGTGCCAACTAGTAAGGGGTGCTGAAAAATAACAGATGCTGCTGCAGCAGCTTAATCATACTGGTGGCACCAGCAGCCTAAAGTCACCGCTGCCCTGGGTATGCAGCTGTTGTTATGTTTCTGTCTGAAACAGTCAAAAACATGGGCCTCGGAAGTCAGTTTTTCAGAGCATAGGCCCTGCCTGACCAGCCCTTTCCCTCACGCTTTACTTTTTTACTGAAAGCTGAAACACACAAAGAATTACCATACTAGTAGGCGGTGTGGGTGTTTCTTTGCATAGGCCTTAGATACCATCCATGGGTGCGGAAAGACATAATGAGCCCCTATAGACATGCAGGGAGGCTGCTCCGACACTCTGTAATTACTCATCTCAGTTAACTGAGTCTGCTGCAGCATGGTAATTACCATGCTCCAGAGGACTCCAGTGTCACATGTATCAGTGTCCCTATAGTAAAAGATGGTGGTGGGGTGCTTTAAACTAAAGCTTGTTAAATGAGCTTTAGTTCAAAGTGTCCCACCACCATTTTTGACCACGGGGATGCTGATACACATGACGCTCCAGGTGCTTTAATTAGCATGGCTGTCAGAGCTGTGCTAATTAAAGCTTCCCACCCCCACCTCCCACAACACGTCTATAAATGCCCAATGCTTGAAACATTTTGAATTACTTTGAAATGCCTTTGCAACATTTCAAAAGGCCCGTGTACAGAAGTACCAGTGGGATAAAACTCTCCAAGGTATGAAAAAACTCCACCTGGGGGGAAAAGGGGAACCTGAATGATATTGATGGTCCACTCTATTCCTCCCTCTGTGAGGGAAGGGGGGAGCAGGGCTGCAGGTCATCACAGCCCCTGGCTGGAGACGATGCTGGTGCACATGGCCACAGCAATTTTGAAATGCTTCAGCTGGGAGGCATAACAGGGGGCTGTATGTCTGTCTGCATCTGAAACACTGTTTTTTTTAAATGTTTCAAACCCCATTGTAGTTTGAAACTTTTCATATGTTGTGTCTGTGCTCACCCTTTAGAGCACGCTGAAGTGAAGTATCCTTGTCTAAGGAAGCACCTCAAGAAATAAGCTCACGTGTGTGCTGTTCCTCTCAGAGAGGGAGAAAACCTGAGCCAGCAGCCCCAGAAACTGATAAAAAAACTGAATTTTTAGTTAAATATTTTGCAAACTGTCTGTTTTGGACCTTTTTGTGGTTTTTGTTTAAATCATGTCAGTTGAAACCCAATAATTCTTTTCTGATAACTGGAAACTTTCAACTGAAAATTAAACACTTTGAGCAAAAAGCTGATGACTTTTGTTTCTGCAAAAGAAAAGCTATTTTCCATCTCAGTGCATTCTTCTTGGATAAGTACATGTTGTTTTATGGCTAAGCTGAATTTGTGCTAGCTTTCTTATCCCAGGGCTTGTGCATGGCTATGCTAACCCACCAAGGAGGAAATTTTGAGGCCACATGACAGAAATTAACCTGGTTTAAACACCTAGAATGCCTTAATACTTAGCATCTCTCACATAAAAAATGCCCTACATAAAACAAGACAGAAGCTAATAGCATGTCTATATACAATATTATTTAACAAGTTTAATAACTGACTAGCACTAAAAACTATCTTGTACTGGTATGAATACAGATCAGTTGAAATACTTAAATTAGTTTTTAATTTCTTGTTGTACAGTATACTAAAGGGCGTGTGAATTTTCCTAGCATTCCCTATTCCAACACCATAGTAGGGACTGTAGGATTGGTCTGCACAGGACATTACAACTGAAACAATGTTTAGGTCAAAACTCTAACTTGGGTCTTCATGAGCATGTTCAAACATTGTAGTAACCTGAAGGGTTAGACTGTAAGCCATTTTAGAAAGCCATCAGGGTTTTTTTTAATGAAGTGAAATTGTTCAGAACATTATGCTACAGGATATTATAATAATGATTCTAAATAAAGTGGTTCAAAATGAAGCGTTCTGAAATTAATGAAAATCAGGATTAGGCAGTAGTTGATCACTTTACTAAGCGTTCTTGTAGCAGAAGGAATGCAGTCCTCATGAAAATACGTTCTCACCAGTTATTTTAGGTGTGTCTGAAGGTGTGGGTTGAACATTAGAGGCAGATAAGCTTGTCTGAAAGATGTAAAGAAAGAATGTATATTCAGTAATAGCCTTTTTTTTTTGCTTTGCCTAGTGGTAAAGGAGGTGTGATCTGTGGTTTGTGAATAACTGAAAGAACTTTTCAGAGCTGCTTCAGTGCATATTCTAAAACAATGTTTTTCTATCTGTGTATGCATATGTGGCCATAGAATCATAGAAAAATAGGATTGGAAGGGTCCTCAGGAGGTCATTTTGTCCAACCCCCTGCTCAAAGCAGGATCATCCCCAACTAGATCATCTCAGTCAAGGCGTTGTCTACCTGGCTCTTAAAAAACCTTCAAGGGTGGAGATTCCACATCCTCTCTGGGTAACCTGTTCCAGCGCTTTACTACCCTCCTGGTAAGAAACATTTTTCCTAATCTTTAACTTACACTTCCCTTGCTGCAACTTGAGACCACTGCTCCTTGTTCTGTCATCTGCCACCATAGATAACAGTCTATCCCCACCTTCTTTGGAAACACCCCTCAGGTAGTTGAAGGCTGTCATTAAATACCCCATTATTTTTCTCTTCTCCAGACTAAATAAACCTAGTTCCCTCAGCCTCTCCTTATAAGCCATGTACCTCAGCCCCCTAACCATTTTTGTTGCTCTCTGCTGGACTCTCTCCAGTTTGCTCACATCCTTTCTGTAGTGTGGGGCCCGAAACTGGACATATTATTCCAGATGTGGTCAAATAGAGGGGAATAATTACTTCCCTCAATTTGCTGATAATACTCGTTCTATTGCAGCCCAGTATACGGTTAGCCTTCTTCACAACAAGGGCACACTGTTGGATCATATTCAGCTTATTGTCCGCTGTACCGCCCAGGTCCTTTTCTGCAGAGCTGCTGCTTAGCCAGTCAGTCCCCAGCCTGTACTGGTACATGAGATTGTTCCAGCCTAACTGCAAGACTTTGCACTTGTCTTTATTGAACTTCATGAGATTTCTTTTGGTCCAGTTCTCCAAGTTGTCTAGGTAACTGAATCCTAGCCCTACTCTTCAGCATATCTTCTGCTCCACCCGGTTTGGTGTCATCTGCAAACTTGCTGAGGGTTCACTCCATCCCATCTTCCAGGTCCTTGATGAAGATATTGAACAAAACTAGCCCCAGGACTGAAGCCCGGGGAACTCCACTTGATAAAGGGTGCCAACTAGATATCAAGCCATTAATTACTACTCCTTGAGCCCAACAGTTTTCTATCTACTTTACAGTCCATTCATCTAACCCAGACTTCCTTAGCTTGCTGGCAAGAATGTTGTGAGAGACCATATCAAAAGTCTTGCTAAAGTGAAGATGTATCACTTCTTCTGCTCTTCTTGCATCCACTTTTCTTGCATCCACAGAGCCAGGTATCTCATCATAGAAGGCAATCAGGTTGGTATGACCTGCCCTTAATGAATCCATGATGACTGTTCCTAGTCGCCTTCTCCTCTAGGTGTTTAGAAATGGATTCTTTGAGGATCTGCTCCATGGTTTTTCCTGGGACTGAGGTGAGGTTGATTGGTTTGTAGTTCCTTGGACCTTCCTTCTTCCCTTTCTTAAATATGGGCACTATGTTTACCCTTCTCCAATCATCTGGGACCTCTCCTTATCTCCACAAGTTTTCAAAGATAATGACCAATGCCCTGCAATCACATTGGCCAACTGCATACTCAAGTTGTTGCAAAGGTAAAAAAGAGGCAGACGCCTTGCCATTTCCTTCCCTTTACAGCTTGTACTAATTTGTTTTTGTTTTAGGAAGTGTATAGGTGATGGGGATTACCAGCAAAGTTATATGTCTGAGGAATTACATGAAAGATCAGGACAAGTAAATATGTTTATACTGGTTCTCCAGTTCCCATATTGTCAGTATCTTTCATTAACCTCCTGCCCTCAGAAATAAAAATCTCTGTCAGCCTAGTTTTCACTCCTATGAAAGAATCCACAGGAGAGAGCTGAAGTGAAAAACTGTACTCACAGAGATTTCTCTCCCGCAGTTCTCTGGGTTGTAAGGTGAGCAATAGTAAAAAGGCTGGAGTCCTATTTCTCCACAGTATCTGTAGTCCCCTGTAATTCTAGTCCTGCTCCTTGTTAGCACAGATTCCTTAAACAACAATGCCATGGGGTTTCCTAACTGTGGTTGCTTCCAGGGCTCAAGAGACAGCCTCACTGTGGAGCTGAAGCTATGGAAATGCAGCATGAATTCTGGCTCC